CAGATTATATTGTTTGTTTGTTTCCTGCTCATTTGGATCTAGGGAGAGTCCATCTCTGGCAGTGTGAAGTAGAGAAGTAATCAAGTCAACACTAGTTATTGGGTTGTTTTTTCAGCAAACACCAACATTGGGTCTCAAGTATTACTTGTTGGCATGGATCCTACTTAGGGCAAGTTGTCTATGTTTATTCTTCTTCTTTTATCTCGGACAAATGGTTGTTTTCCATAGACTGCTGAGCAATGAAAGCTATGGTTCAGAGCTCTTTGGATGAAAGCATTAGATAACAATCTTTTCATTTTGAAAATGAAACTTCCACATTGGCAATACGGTTGATGATTGTTAAAGCTGGGTCTTGAGTAGATGGGGGTTATTATAGTCATTGCATTTTTATATATGTTAGACACTCTTTATTTTAAAAAGCAACAAAATGAGTCTTTTTAAGATCAAGCAAGCTTCTCATTAACACTTTAAAATAACAGGTTTTGGAATTTTTCTGTTTTGAACTTTATTCAAGGATTACAAAATATTTAAAGAGGCCTTGGGGTGCTTTTGGTTAGATATCAAACCCACCAGTAACTCCATGGGAGGAATTATGAGGCGGTCTGTTCCCATAAAGATTTACAATCCTGGAAACCTTATATAGGGTCGCTATGAGTCTAATTCAACTCGATGGCTGTGGGTTTTCAAAGTGTTTATTAACTTGTTGAATGAAGCCATTCCCTGTGTCTTGCTAATCCTGTCTTTGCCTTATATCTACTGCTTAAGTAGTTGTGGGGAAAAATTCTTTCCCATCCTTTTCCCGAAAGTGAGGGCAGGATATTATGCGAAATTTTAAATAGTAAAAAACTCATTGTTTATTTGGCACAAACATCCATGTAGCAGAGCCTGAGTGCTGAAGTGATACTAATGTACATTTTGATGTTTTCTTTCTCCAGATTGTGGATGCCTTTTTCATTGGCCGCTATGTCCTTCTGGCTTTGCTCAGTGCTATATTTCTTGGAGGTCTCTTCTTGGTCCTAATTCATCATATCTTGGAGCCTATTTATGCAAAACCACTCCGGTCCTTTTGATCACTATTCAAGAAAACAAGAGACTCTGCTCCCTCCATTTTGATGTCATTGATGAGCAGAAGACACTCTCCAGAGCTTTATATCATTAGTCTTCATGCCTTCAGGTCTGAAAAATCTCCATCGTCCCTCTGGAAATTCCCTTGAGTCAGGGTTGCAAATTGTTCCTCTGGGGATAAATTCTCACCAGCTTAAGAAGGCATGGTGTTGTCTTCTTACCACCAATACCTCAGATTTTTCATCTGTTTTGACAGGGAACTAACAATAATGATCTGCTTAGAATACATACTCAGTCAGGATGTTACAAAGTAGATTTTTGGGAAAGGAACATTTTGGCCTCTCTTGTCAAATAGAAAAACCCTTTTGGAGGAAATAGAGGAAAGAACTAGGAGGCAAAGGACATTTATAGAGGTCTAAATACAGGCGTGTACATATGTACATATATCTATATGTTAAGTATGAAAGTAGCAGACTGACACTGGGCCTCTACTCAAGTACTCCCTTAATGCACAAACACTTTGTTCTAATAACCTAGCATTCTGTGATGC